TTTACGTCTCCTCACATTGTTTTTCTCTTCGTTCTCTTTCTATCTTCTTTCTCGTCCTCGCTGTTCTTTGCTTCTCTTTCTCTTTCTCTCTCCTCTCTCCTCTCTCTCTCTCTCTCTCTCTTCTCTTTCTCTCTGCTCTCCCCCTCTCATCTCTCTCTCTCTCGCTCTCGCGCTCTCTCTCTCTCTCTCTCTCTCTCTCTCTCTCTCTCTCTCTCTCTCTCTCTCTCGTCTCTCTCTTCTCTCTCTCTCCTCTCCCTCCCTCCCTCCCTCCCTCCCTCCCTCCCTTTCCCCCCCACTTCTCTTATCTATCTATCCATCTATCATCTACCTATCTATCTATTCATCTCTACCTCCTTTCTCTTTCTTCCCTTGTTTCCCCTCTCTCCGTCTCTCTGCCTCTCCTTCCTTTACCCTCTTTTCATTTCTCTTCCATATTTTCAAAAACAAAAACTCGAAAACTCACTCCAGTTCATTCTCACGACTCAGCAAGAAAGAGTCCTCCTCGAACAGCGCTTGAAGGAGAGATAAAGGGAAGGAGAGGGAGGGGAGGATGGAGGGGATGAGAGAGAGGGGGATAGATGGGCAAAACAGAGGGATGAAAGGAAAGGTGAGAAAGGAGAGAAAAGATATATGGAAGAAAGAGAGGGAAAAGACTGGAAGGGGCAAAGAAGGACAGAGAAAAGAAAGAGAGAGAGAGAGAGAGAGGAGAGTAGAGAAGAGAGAGACGAGGAGAGAGAGAGAGAGAGAGAGAGAGAAGAGAGAAGAGAGAGGAGAGAGAGAGAGAGAAAGAGAGAGGAGAGAGAGAGAGAGAGAGAGAGAGAGAGAGAGAGAGAGAGATGATAGAGAGAGAGAGAGACATGATAAGGGTAAGTAGGGTGGGCGATAAAGGAGAAGAGCAAGAGAGCGATAAAAAGGACAAACTATAGTGACGAAAAGAGCAAAGAAGAACGAAAGGAGAGAGAAAGAGAGACAAAAAAGAAAGTATGGGGACGAAAAGAGCAAAGAAGAACAGAAGTTACAACAGAAAGATATTAGAAAAGTACAAGTACGGGGAGGAAAATAACAAAGAAGAAAGAAAAGTAAGAATAGAAAGAATTAAGAAAAGGAACGAAAAACAAAATCAACCAAAAAAGTAAAAAAAGAGAAAAAGACAAAAAACAGTAAGTGGTCGAAAAGACCAAAGGGAACGAAGGAAAGGAGAAAGAAAAAAAATAATAGCAAATTATGGGAACGAAACAAAAGAAAGAACGAAAAAGAGAGAATTCGAAGATCCAAAAGCCAATCAAGCGATGAGCGAAGGACCCTCCCCTCCCCTCTCCACCCCACCCCCACCCCAATCTCTCCTAAGAGTAATGTCGAATACTCGCGCCCTCAAGATTCCTCCAGTTATCTAAGACAGTCTTACGCAAAAGCCCTTCACGTTACTCCACTTTCGTTTCCACTCCGCCACTCTGCCGTGAAGACTCTAGAAGCCCGTGTGGATATTAATGTCTATTGAGGGCGTGCGATAGAGTAGCGCTGTGAGGATAACTGTGAGGATAGAGCTGAACTTTCCAACTTTATTTATTTCTCTCTTAATCTTTGTAACTTTTAGAAAAATAATATCATTATCCCAGCGGTTAAATTTCGTATAACTTATATATAGTAGATACGTAAAATAACTATCATATTGTAGATTTGTACACACATTTCTTCACAACATTGAGTACGTTAACACTGATCACTTGCCTTCCTCCAGTGCCGATAGCTGGGTTCTGACAAAGCTCTGGCATCATCTACTCTAATGGTGGGAACACTAACCCCCTTGTACGTGACTTTAAGGATTTTTCCCTCACTTTTCATTACATTTATACCTCATTTCCCCTCCCCCCCCAAAAAAAAAAAAAAAATCTTTCAAGCGCCTGGGGGGGGGGGGAGTCAGCGGGTTTCAGGAGGCCAGGGAGCTCCGCCGAAGAGTCCTTAAGAAACCCATCGATAATATGTGTATAATGAATAACCTTACGATGAGGCCGACGGATATGCGGGGGCACGCGCGGACCCCCTCAGGATTAGGGGAGTCTGGTTTATGGGATTTTCAGGCAGGAGGGGAAGGAGGAGGGAGGGGAAGGAGGGGAAGAAGGGGAAGGAGGAAAGAGGAGAAGATAGGGGAAGGAGGGAGAGGTGGAAGGAAGAAGGGGAAGAAGTGGGGGGGAAGAGTGAAAGAAGGGGATGGAGGCAAGAGGGGAAGGAGAAAAGAGAGGAAGAAGGGGAAGCAGAAAATAGGAGAAAATAGGGGAAGGAAGCAAGAGGGGAAGAAGGGGAAGGAGAGAGAGAAAGAGGTGGAAGGAAGAATGGGAAAAGGAAGGAGGGAGAAAAGAGGGGGAGAAGGAGATAGGATGGAGGGAGACCAAGAGGTGGAAGGAAAAGGAGAAGGAAAGAAGAGGAAGGAAGAAAGGGAAGGAGGGAGGAGGGGGAGGAGGAAGACGTGGAGGAGGAGAAGGTAAAGAAGGGAGGAAGAGGAAGAAGAGGGAGGAAGTGAAATGTGGGGAAAGAAGGCAGGATATAAGGGGAAGGAAAAATAGAAGAGAAGACGAGGGAAATTGATGAAACGGAGAATCAGACAAAAAGGAAAAATAGTATAAAAAAGGAAAAATAACAGAATTGTAAAGAAAAGTAAAAGGAGTGAATGAGAGAAATTAGTAGACTGAGTATTGGAAGAATGAAAGGAAAAGAGGAAGATAAATTAGAAATTAAAAGGCTAAAACCAACCAAAAGGGTGAAAAGAAAAGAAATAACGGAAAAAAGAAAAGGTAGAAAAAAGGGAGAAAATAAAACGTTGAAAGCAAAAGGGAAGCAAGAAAATTTAGAAAAAGAGAAAGAAAAAGAAGACAAGAAAAATGAGGAAATAAAAATCACGAAAAGAAAGGGAGAAGTAAAGGAAATGGATGAAAGAAAAACAAAGAAAAGAAGAGGAGAGAAAAGAAAAAGTAGGAAAGGAAACAAAGAATGAAAACAGTGCAAGAAAGGATAGAGAGGAAAGAAAAATAAGGAGAGGGAGATAAGACATCGAAGGAAAGAAAACGGAAGGAAGAAAAAGCAGAAAAAAAGAAAAAAAAGGAGATTTTTTTTTTTTTTTTAAATCCCAGACTAATTTTTAGGCCCAACGAAGAAGGATGCTTTTCTTCATATAAATATAAATCTTTTCTTCTTCTTTTTATCTACAACTATTTTTTCCACTTATTTTCTTTCTCGTCTTCCCAGATGTCAAGATAAATTCGGTAGCCGAGAGAAAAGAAATGGAAGGAGAGAAATTGGAGAAAAGGAAAGTAGAAAAAGGAAACGATGAATGACAATGGATTTCCGTGCGTCTGGTGATAGACAGATCGATCGATAGATAGATAGATAGATAGGCTGATGATATCGTAAAAAAAAAATATAAATTTCTAGGTCTAACGAAGAGAGATGTATTTCTTCATATTTCTTCTTCTTCTTCTTCTTCTTTGTTTATCTATATCTATTTTTCCACCTTTTCTTTCTCTTTTCCGAATGTCGAGACAGATTCGGTAGCCGAGAGAAAATAAATGGGAGAGAAAATGGAGAACATGAAAGTAAGAAATAGAAAACGATGAATGAGAATGGATTTCCGATAGATAGATAGATAGATAGATATCGTAAAAAAAAAAAAAAAAAAAAAAAAAAAAAAAAAAAAAAAAAAAAAACTCATATCAACTTCTAGGCTTGACGAAGAGATATACCTTTCTTCATATACATCTTCCCTCCTTTTTGTTTATCTATATCCATTTTTTCCCACCCATGTTCTTTCTCTTCTTCCCCAAAAGTCGAGATAAATTCGGTAGTCGAGAGAAAGTTTTGCAATTAGCACGTCGCCACTCCGCTGCTCCACCGGCGGGAAGAAGCGCCATCTTTGGTCGGAACATTGCACCCTTTCCGCGAACTTTCGAGAACCCGCAGTTCCGTTTTATTAGTGGGAATTCTTTTAATAAGGGACTTTGTCATACTGATCGAGGGAGGATGTGATGGTAGAGGGGAGGGAAGGGAGGGAGGGAGGAAAGGGGGGAGGAGGGAAGAGGGGAGGATGAGAGGGAGGGAGGGAGGGGAGGGAGGGTTAGTGAGGGGTGCCGGAGAGAGAGAAAGGGGGGGGGGGGGCGGGAGGGAGGGAGACAGAGAGAAAGAGATTGATGTCGAAAGAGGACTGGAAATGAGAAGAAAGAAGAAGAGGGACAGAAAAGTGTAGAAAGAGAGAGGGGGAGAGAGAGGAACGAACCTACAAGACCACAGTAGCAGAGCTAGGAAAGAGAGAGAGAGAGAGAGAAAGAGGAGAGAGAGAGAGAGAGAGAGAGAGACGGGAAGAGGCAACCTTTTAAAGAAAATACATACACACACACACACACAGAGAGAGAAGAGAGGAGAGAGAGAGAGAGAGAGAGAGAGAGAGAGAGAGAGAGAGAGAGAGAGAGAGAGAGAGAGAGAGAGAGAGAGAGAGAGAGAGAGAGAGAGAGAGAGAGAGAGAGAGAGAGAGAGAGAGAGGAGAGAGAGAGAGAGAGAGAGAGAGAGAGAGAGAGAGAGAGAGAGAGAGAGAGAGAGAAGAGAGAGAGAGAGGAGAGAGAGAGAGAGAGAGAGAGAGAGAGAGAGAGAGAGAGAGAGAGAGAGAGAGAGAGAGAGAGAGAGAGAGAGAGAGAGAGAGAGAGAGAGAGAGAGAGAGAGAGAGAGAGAGAGAGAGAGAGAGAGAGAGAGAGAGAGAGAGAGAGAGAGAGCGAGAGAGAGAGAGAGAGAGAGAGAGAGAGAGAGAGAGAGAGAGAGAGAGGAGAGAGAGAGAGAGAGAGGAGAGAGAAGAGAGAGAGAGAGAGAGAGAGAGAGAAGTGATAAGGGAAGAAAATACAGTTTAAGTTAATCTTATATTCCTTAGAGGCTACGTCTAACCTTCCCTCCTACCCCCACCCCCCATCAAAAGAAAATAAGAAAAAAAAAACATAACAAGGATATGGAAATGAAAACCATAATCAATTTCTATTAACGTTCCATCTCTAAAATAAGCGAAAGACGCCAGCTAACAGTCCTCGGCAAAAGACACTGCATTTACTCGTCTATAACAAAAGAGCAGCATGGCGGAATAAGGGTTCTAATTGCTTTACAAGTTTCTCGTTTGCACAGAGAAACAAAAGAAGATCAAATAAGGCGCTCAAACACAGTCCAGCACCTCCCTTTAAGCCAAAACACTTTGTTCAATCCTGTTCACTCGTGCGGCTGCTTAGATCCTACACGAAAACTTATTTCTCTCTCTCTCTCTTTTACGAAGTTGGAACAATCAAGTCGTTTATTTTTCTTTTCTTTTTTTTTCCTTCTTGCTTTTTTTCCTCTTCCTCTTGTATTTTCTTCCTTCTAAGTTTTGTTTGATGTTCTGCGAAACTGGAGTTCGGTCGCGGGTCCGAATCTGAGAAAATACGAGACAAAGTAATTTAAACATTGTCTCATTAGCTAGCTGGGAGGGAAGATTCGCGGAAATGAGAGAGAGGGAAGGAAAATAAGAGGAAGACAGGGACGAATGGGGAAGGAGACAGGAGGAGAAGGGAAAGAAAAAAAAGAAGAAGGGTGAAGGAGAAGGGGAGGGAGAGAGTGAGGGATGAGGAGAGGGTGAGAGAGAAGGCGAGGGATGAGGAGGGGGAACTGAGGAGAAAGGAAAGAATATGAGAGAAAAGGAGGGAGTGAAGGAGAGAGAAAGTGAGGGATGAGGAGAAAGAAAGAGAGAGAGAGAGAGAGAGAGAGAGAGAGAGAGAGAGAGAGAGAGAGAGAGAGAGGGGGGAGATGGGGGAGGGATGATGAGGAGGAACTGAAGAGAAGGGAAAGCAAAGGAGATGAAAGGAAACATAGACAGAAAGAGAGAGATCGAGGGATGAGTAGGAGAGGGAGAGGGGCAGGAAAAGGAGAGGTAGGTAGAAGGGGAGAGGAAGAGGGAGGAGTAGAGAGGGAGAGAAGGATAGGCAGAGGTAGAGGGAGGGGAACGATAGATAGGCAGATAGATATATAGATAAAGAGAAAGGTGGAATGATAGATAGATAGAAAGGTGGATAGATAGATAGATAGATTAATTGACTGACTGATTGCTGATAGATTTATTTATAGACAGAAAAAATAAGCTTAGAGAAAATACGATAAAACACGCGTCTGCGAAAAGAAAAGAAATATTATGTACAAACTTCGACGCTTGCGTAAACAAACATCCTTATTAAAGATATCAGAAGGAAAAAGAAAATTAATTAATTAATCAATACATGAAAACAGATTCATGTATATATATATATATATATATATATATATATATATATATATATATATATATATATATATATATATATATATATATATATATATATATATATATATATATATATATATATATATATATATATATATATATATATATATATATATATATATATATATATATATATATATATATATATATATATATATATATATATATATATATATATATATATATATATATATATATATATTATATATATATATATATATATATATATATATATATATATATATATATATATATATATATATATATATATATATATAATACTCATTATTCTCCGTTATTCACCCATTACCTTTGTCCACAGAACAACTCACTGCGGAAGGACACAAACGACGTGTTCCATTATGACGTCATCTTGTGGGTTCCGCCCCCTGTCCCTCCTGGCGATACTATTGGTCGCGGATTTCACCAATTCCGCACCTACAAGTAAGTGTTATTATCATTTATCTCTCTATCAACTGTTCCTTTACTAAATTTCATTTTACTGATCTATTTTTTAAGTGTGTGTTACGGTTTTCTTTTCTTTGTGAAACGAATGATGGGTGTTTGTTTTGATATGATAAGTTGAATTATTCTTTGTCTCCAAATTGTTTGTTTATTAAAAAGAATGATGTATTCAGCATCTGCCGTTCCGATGCGCCGGATAAATGGCGATTAATTCCTTTTGTGTTTTTGTTCTCCGGCGATTCTGATTTCCCCCCTTTTTATTATCTCTTAGATGGGCACTTAAAGCCAGGCGCTCACGGCCGCTCTCCCTCTCGACCGAGTTGGCACTTGCTGCTGGCACTCTGGCGACCCAAGGGAGAAGGAGTGACGGCCGGGGGCACGCATCCCCCCGGCGAGGTCCTGCTCACGCCCACTCAGCCTCTGCCGGCGAAGGAGGCGCAGCCCACGCGAACGGTTCCTCCCACCAGAGGAGTCCTGCCGACGAGAGTGGTTCTTCCCGCCAGAGACGTGATTCGGGAGAGAATAGTCCTTCCGACTCGCGAAGACCTGCCCGACGGGAGGGTCCTGCCGGTGATGGAGCCTTTGCTCCCCCGGGGCGTTGCGCCTCCCAGGACTGGGGATCCCAGCGAGGGCAGCGAACCCCCGGCAGTGCTGCACGTTGTGAGCACTCCCTACGCACACACACCCGAACCCCCGCCGCACCCACAGACTCCGATCCGCGG